TCTCCCCCATCTCCCCCAGATCTCCCCCCCATCTCCCCATCTCCCCCCATCTCCCCCACATCTCCCCCCCATCTCCCCCCATCTCCCCCACATCTACCCCCCCATCTACCCCCCATCTCCCCCCCATCTCCCCCACATCTCCCCCCACATCTACCCCCCATCTCCCCCACATCTCCCCCCCATCTCCCCCCGATCTCCCCCCATCTCCCCCACATCTCCCCCCATCTCCCCCACATCTCCCCCCCCCATCTCCCCCCCATCTCCCCCATCTCCCCCACATCTCCCCCCCATCTCCCCCATCTCCCCCCATCTCCCCCACATCTCCCCCCATCTCCCCCCCATCTCCCCACATCTACCCCCCCCATCTACCCCCCATCTCCCCCCATCTCCCCCACATCTCCCCCCCATCTCCCCCCCATCTCCCCCCATCTCCCCCCCATCTCCCCCATCTCCCCCCATCTCCCCCACATCTCCCCCCCATCTCCCCCCCATCTCCCCCACATCTACCCCCACATCTACCCCCCATCTCCCCCACATCTCCCCCCCATCTCCCCCCCGATCTCCCCCCATCTCCCCCACATCTCCCCCCCATCTCCCCCACATCTCCCCCACATCTCCCCACATCTCCCCCACATCTCCCCCATCTCCCCCACATCTCCCCCATCTCCCCCACATCTCCCCCACATCTCCCCCACATCTCCCCCATCTCCCCCACATCTCCCCCACATCTCCCCCATCTCCCCCACATCTCCCACATCTCCCCCATCTCCCCCACATCTCCCCCCCCATCTCCCCCCCATCTCCCCCACATCTCCCCCATCTCCCCCACATCTCCCCCACATCTCCCACATCTCCCCCCATCTCCCCCACATCTCCCCCCCATCTCTCCCCAGCAGCAGCATCGGCTGCTTGCGTCGTCTCAACTACCTCTGCTGCAACAACAACAACAACATCAACAACAACAACATCAACAACAACAACAACATCAACAACAACATCAACAACAACAACAGCTGCTGCTACCGCTGCCTCGCGACTGCTGCGGCTGCCGCTGCTTCTCTGTGCGGATCAGCAGCAGAGCCACCACCACCACCACCATCATCACCACCACCATCATCAGCATCACCACCACCACCACTATCAGCAGCAGCATCATCATCAGCAGGAGGGGTCACGGGGGTCAGGGTGGCGATGGTCGCCTGCAGGGGACTCTGGACGCAGCGATTCTGGAGGTCGCTGCTCGCCGAGCTCCTGGGCAGCGCCGTCCTCGTGATGCTGGGAGCCGGAGCCACGCTCACGTGGAGCGCACAGCAGCCTCCATCGCCCGTGCAGGTGTGGCACGTGTAGTGGTGGTGGTGCTGGTGGTGGTAGGTGTAGTAGTGGTGGTAGGTGTAGTAGTGGTGGTGGTAGGTGTAGTGGTGGTAGGTGTAGTAGTGGTGGTGGTAGGTGTAGTAGTGGTGGTGGTAGGTGTAGTGGTGGTGGTAGGTGTAGTAGTGGTGGTGGTAGGTGTAGTAGTGGTGGTAGGTGTAGTGGTAGGTGTAGTGGTAGGTGTAGTGGTGGTGCTGGTGGTGGTGGTAGGTGTAGTGGTGGTGGTGGTAGGTGTAGTGGTGGTAGGTGTAGTAGTGGTGGTAGGTGTAGTAGTGGTGGTGGTAGGTGTAGTAGTGGTGGTGGTAGGTGTAGTAGTGGTGGTGGTAGGTGTAGTAGTGGTGGTGGTGGTGGGTGTAGTAGTGGTGGTGGTAGGTGTAGTAGTGGTGGTGGTTGTGCTGGTGGTAGGTGTAGGTGTAGTGGTGGTAGGTGTAGTAGTGGTGGTGGTAGGTGTAGTGGTGGTGGTGGTGGTAGGTGTCGTGGTGGTGGTAGGTGTCGTGGTGGTGGTGGTAGGTGTCGTGGTGGTGGTGGTAGGTGTAGTAGTAGTGGTAGGTGTAGTGGTGGTGGTAGGTGTCGTGGTGGTGGTGGTAGGTGTCGTGGTGGTAGGTGTAGTGGTGGTGGTTGTAGGTGGCGTGGTGGTAGGTGTAGTAGTGGTAGGTGTCGTGGTTCTGGTAGATGTCGTGGTGGTGGTGGTAGGTGTAGTAGTGGTGGTGGTGGTGCTGGTGGTAGGTGTAGTGGTGATAGGTGTAGTAGTGGTGGTAGGTGTAGTAGTGGTGGTGGTGGTAGGTGTCGTGGTGGTGGTAGGTGTAGTGGTGGTAGGTGTAGTGGTGGTGGTAGGTGTAGTGGTGGTGGTGCTGGTGGTAGGTGTAGTGGTGGTGGTGGTAGGTGTAGTGGTGGTAGGTGTAGTGGGGGTGGTGCTGGTTGTATGTGTAGTGGTGGTGGTGGTAGGTGTAGTGGTGGTAGGTGTAGTGGTGGTGGTGCTGGTGGTAGGTGTAGTGGTGGTGGTGGTAGGTGTAGTGGTGGTAGGTGTAGTGGGGGTGGTAGGTGTAGTGGTGGTGGTGGTGGTAGGTGTCGTGGTGGTAAGTGTCGTGGTGGTGGTGGTGCTGGTGGTGGGTGTCGTGGTGGTAGGTGTCGTGGTGGTGGTGGTAGGTGTCGTGCTGGTGGTGGCAGGTGTAGTTGTGGTGGTGGTAGGTGTAGTGGTGGTGGTAGGTGTCGTTGTGGTGGTGGTAGGTGTAGTAGTAGGTGTAGTGGTGGTAGGTGTCGTGGTGGTGGGTGTAGTGGTGGTAGGTGTCGTGGTGGTAGATGTAGTGGTGGTGGTTATAGGTGGCGTGGTGGTAGGTGTAGTGGTGGTCGGTGTCGTGATCCTGCAAAACAACCCCCTACCTCCTTGTGGTGCCGGACGGGCAACTCTGTCGTGGACAGTGCTGTGGGGGGAAGGCCAATTCCGAGTGGCCTTTCCCCTCATGGCGTTTGTGACCACCACAGTAGCTAAACAGGGGCTCTGGATGGGTGCGAGGGGCTGATAACCCCTCCACCTTCAATTAATTACCACTAAACCACGTCTAAAATATCTAATTAATAAGCTTGTGCCAGAGGACCCGGGGGGACAGGCGTCTATGACGTCTCCTGGCCAAACCCCAATTGGCGGAGCCAGGAGATTTAATCTCTACCCTCGGGGCTCCTCCAGAAATAACGAAAAGCCACTTCGCATGGCCACGTGGAATGTTCGGATGCTCACTGCGGAGGAGAGGCTGCCACTGCTCTGTCGGGAGCTGGACCGGTAACGCCTGGATCTCTGTGGCATTCAGGAGGTCCGGTGGACCGGCTCTGACCCGTGCCACTATGAGGAGTGGACAGTCCTCTACTCTGAACAAAAGAATGAAGGGGGCGTGGGAGCGTGGCTACTTTGTGGCTACTTTGGGCTCGCCTTCCCATCAACCGGAGGCACGGAGTGGTGGTCGTGTTTACTTATGCCCCTACCGAAGACGAACATCCGTGGTGGGATGCAGGCAAAGCCGATGAGTCAGATGCCTTCTATGACCTCCTGCCACAGGTGCTGGCTAAAGTGGCCCCTCGGGATAGTCATCTTGTTGGGTGACTTTATGCCCGAGTTGATCATCATTATAGCACCTGGTCTGGAGTGAATGGAAGGCATGGGTCAGATCAGCTCAATAACAAGGCCAGGAGGCTGCTAGATTTTTGTGCAGCCCATGGGCTTGTAATTACCAACACGCTGTTCCGGCATCAGCGCATCCACACAACATCATGGATGCATGCCGGGTCCAAGCAAGAACATCTGCTGGACTACATAGTGACGGATGTACCGTGGAGCTGATCTGCCCTCTAACCATCGACTTGTCATCTGTAAAATGCGCCTGCCATTCTTCCACTCCGGTGGTGGGTGTACACCCAGGACCCCATTCAAACCTAAGGTGGCCTGGTCTCAGCTAGCTGATGAAAGTTGCAGGCGATAATTTCATCATCGCTTGCGGCTGGGGTTGGCATCGTCCCCCACTCCTCCTGATGTCGAGGGTAAGTGGGCGAGGTTTAGGACTGTGACTCATGCAGCTGCAATGGCAGCTTTGGGTACGCGGTCCAGACCTCCCAAGAGACCCTGGCTGACAGAGGAGGTGTTCAGGATGGTTGAGAAAAAGTGACAGGCCCACTGTCATCGGCTACAGAATCCCACGTCAGAGAATGAGGAGGCTTACCGCAGCCTTCGCTCGGAGGTTCGGAGAGCCGTGAGGCGCTGCAAGGATGGGTGGTGGTCGCGGGTTGCTGAGGAGATGGAGTCTGCCTCAGTGGCCCGCGATCCCAAATCCCTATTTAACTCCATCAAAAAAGTAACCTGCAGCGCTACACCTCTTACCATCTTTAGGGGACAAAACGGTGATCCAATCTCCGCCCCCCAGGAACAGGTTTGCAGATTTGCTGAGCATTTCTGTGAAGTACTGGGGGAAGGGAAATCCCCCGACATGGAAAACATTGTGGGACAAAGTGAGGATGACCCTGCTGAGGCTGCGGTGCTTCAAATATTGGAGGAGGAAGTCACCCCCTGTGAGTGGCTGGCTGAGGTGCCATCTGTTGAGGAAGTACTGAAGGCGATCCAGAGTCTGAGACCAAGAAAGGCACCGGTCAGAGATGATCTCCAAAGCGAAATGCTGAGGGAGGGAGGCGTTTGTGCACAGACTGCCCTACATGACATCATAACAGCAGTCTGGACCACTGGACGGGTTCTGTACCATCGGACATTCCACCCCCACAACTACTAATTGGTGAAAGGGCAGTTGTGGAGAGAGTGGACAGTTTCCCATACCTGGGCAGTGTGCTCATGACCGGCTCCGCTAGAGCAGAGGTGTAGGGAATTCCAACAAGACCTACATCTCAGCTTTAAAAACCTGGTCAAGGCCTATCAGTAAGCTCTGGGTTGTTCTTTGTGCTTTCGGAGTACCTGACCTTCTGCTCACGATCATTAAGGACCTTCATGATGGTGAGCGGGCCCAGGTAAATCTACGTGGCCAGGAGTCAGAGCCATTCCCTGTTCACCTTGGGGTGCGACAGGGATGTCCTCTGGCTCCCACATTATTTAACATCTATTTTGACCACATAGTTCGTGAAGCCTTCAATAGTTGTACCAGATGAATTTCCATCTGGTACAGATATAATGGGAGACTGATCGATGCCCGGGTGCGGTCAAGGGATGGCTCCTTATTGCTCAACCATGTTATGTATGCCGATGATCTGGTAATAGCTGCTCATTCAGAGGAGGAGTTGGAGGCACTGCTGCTGAACCTGGAGCGTGCCACCAAGAGGTGGGGACTTACCATCAGCCCCACTAATACTAAGCACCTGCCTGAGTATTTTGTACTATAAGACACTCCACTCCCACAACTCCCAATTGGTGATGGGGTAGTTGTGGAGAGAGTGGAGAGTTTCCCATACCTGGGCAGTGTGCTCATAACCAGCTCCGGTTTAACAGCAAAGGTCTCACTCCGAATCAGTCGAGCGGCAATATCTTTTCATCGGTTGCGTAACGCTGTGTGAAAGCTACCTGGTCTTCTCGGCCACGGTCATTCCCTTCTTTCTTTACGCTTGCGAAACGTGGACCCCCCTAATGGACATCTTCGCCGGTTAGAAACATCTAGGCTGGCCTGTCTACGATCCATCCTGGGTTTAACCAGACTGGATTTTGTGAGGAGCTCACAAATCCTTGAAAGATCTGGGCAAGGTCCCATCGGTGAGCTCCTCCGGCAGGCAAGGCTGCATTGGCTGGGTCATGTAGCCCGCATGCCCAGCCACCGCATGCCGAAACAGCTTCTGTTCGGCCTGATCGAGGGGGCTAAACGGGCGCGGCACGGGCTAGAGAAGAGATGGAGCGACGTGGTACAGGAGGACGTGGAGCTGAGTGGACTTGCCGATGACTGGTACCAGCGGTGTCAAGGTCGGCCTCTGTGGAGGAGGCTCGTGAAGGACGCTACTGGGCAGTTGGAGGTAGTCGCCCTCCAACAACAACGGAGGGCGGAGGAGCGATGCTCACAACAACGAGCGGAGCGCCGGGTGGCTAAAGCACAGCAGGTTGGCACAGTAGGGGGCACAGGTGGTGCATCAGCCAGTCATCTCAGTCAGTCGACCCGTGGCACCTGCTGGGTCTGCCCCGTGACCTCCTGCCGGCGGGCGTTCGACGCTTCACGTGGCGTCAGGGTGCACATAGCCTGGCACAAGCGTCGTGGTGACGTCGCCGCCATTCACGGGCTAATGGCGGTTGCTGCTGCTGCTGTTGTTGTTGTTGTGTACGTACCCTGATGTGTGTGTGTGTGTACCCGTGTGTGACTCAGTGATGGGTGCAGTGACTCAGTGCAGGACCCACCACTCTGTCCCCGACGTGTCCCTCACCCCCCCTCACCCCCTCCCAGGTGTCGCTGTGCTTCGGCCTGGCCGTGGCCGCCATGGCCCAGTGCCTGGGAGGCGTCAGCGGTGCCAACCTCAACCCGGCGGTGACGGCCGCCCTGCTGGTGACTCGCCGCATGCCGCTCAGCCGCGGCGTCGCCTTCGTGGCCGCCCAGAGCCTCGGGGCCACGCTGGGGGCCGCGCTGCTGCTGCTGGTCACGCCGGGGGACGTCGCGGGGGCCCTGGGGGCCACACTCGTGAGTGGGGGGTGGGGGTCGGGGGGGTAGAGCCAGATAGTGAACCAGATAGTCAACCAGATAGTGAACCAGATAGTCAGCCAGATAGTGAACCAGATAGTCAGCCAGATAGTGAACCAGATAGTGAACCAGATAGTCCATCAGATAGTCAGCCAGATAGTCAGCCAGATACTCCACCAGATAGTCCACCAGATACCCCACCAGATAGCAAAACAGATAATCCATCAAATAGTGAACCAGATAGTGAACCAGATAGTGAGCCAGATAGTGAACCAGATAGTCCACCAGATAGTCAGCCAGATATTCAGCCAGATATTCAGCCAGATAGTGAACCAGATAGTCAGCCAGATAGTCCACCAGATAGTCAACCAGATGGTCAGCCAGATAGTCAGCCAGATAGTTTGCCAGATAGTCCACCAGATAGTCTGCCAGATAGTGAACCAGATAGTCAACCAGATAGTCAGCCAGATAGTCAGCCAGATAGTCAACCAGATAGTCCGCCAGATAGTGAACCAGATAGTCCACCAGATAGTCCACCAGATAGTCCACCAGATAGTCCACCAGATAGTCAGCCAGATAGTCAACCAGATAGTCAGCCAGACAGTCAGCCAGATAGTGAACCAGATAGTGAACCAGAAAGTGAACCAGATAGTCATCCAGATAGTCAGCCAGATAGTCAGCCAGATAGTCGGCCAGATAGTCAACCAGATAGTCAGCCAGATAGTCAGCCAGATAGTCGGCCAGATAGTCAACCAGATAGTGAACCAGATAGTGAACCAGATAGTGAACCAGATACTCCACCACATACTCAACCAGATAGTCAACCAGATACTCCACCAGATGACCATGGGAGGACCGGACACTCCACCAGACACTTGACCAGGTGGACACTTGACCAGATACTCAGCCAGGTGATGGTGGACCACCAGGTGAGTGGCAGGCTTCAGCTGGTGCCTGGCAGTCAGTCAGTAGTCACCCTGTCAGTCAGTAGTCACCCTGTCAGTCAGTAGTCACCCTGTGAGTCAGTAGTCACCCTGTCAGTCAGTCAGTAGTCACCCTGTGAGTGAGTCAGTAGTCACCCTGTGAGTCAGTAGTCACCCTGTCAGTCAGTAGTCACCCCGTGAGTCAGTCAGTAGTCACCCTGTGAGTCAGTAGTCACCCTGTCAGTCAGTAGTCACCCCGTGAGTCAGTCAGTAGTTACCCTGTGAGTCAGTAGTCACACTGTGAGTCAGTCAGTAGTCACCCTGTGAGTCAGTAGTCACCCTGTCAGTCAGTAGTCACCCCGTGAGTCAGTCAGTAGTCACCCTGTGAGTAGTCACCCTGTGAGTCAGTAGTCACAGTGTCAGTCAGTCAGTAGTCACCCTGTGAGTCAGTAGTCACCCTGTCAGTCAGTCAGCAGTCACCCTGTCAGTCAGTAGTCACCCTGTCAGTCAGTAGTCACCCTGTCAGTCAGTAGTCACAGTGTCAGTCAGTCAGTAGTCACCCTGTGAGTCAGTCAGTGAGTCACCCTGTCAGTCAGTAGTCACCCTGTGAGTCAGTCAGTCAGTAGTTACCCTGTGAGTCAGTCAGTAGTCACAGTGTCAGTCAGTCAGTAGTCACCCTGTGAGTCAGTCAGTGAGTCACCCTGTCAGTCAGTAGTCACCCTGTGAGTCAGTCAGTAGTCACAGTGTCAGTCAGTCAGTAGTCACCCTGTGAGTCAGTCAGTAGTCACCCTGTGAGTCAGTCAGTAGTCACCCTGTGAGTCAGTAGTCACCCTGTGAGTCAGTCAGTAGTCACCCTGTCAGTCAGTAGTTACCCTGTGAGTCAGTAGTCACCCTGTGAGTCAGTCAGTAGTCACCCTGTCAGTCAGTAGTCACCCTGTGAGTCAGTCAGTAGTCACCCTGTGAGTCAGTCAGTAGTCACCCTGTGAGTCAGTAGTCACCCTGTCAGTCAGTCAGTAGTCACCCTGTGAGTCAGTAGTCACCCTGTGAGTCAGTAGTCACCCTGTCAGTCAGTAGTCACCCTGTCAGTCAGTCAGTAGTCACCCTGTCAGTCAGTAGTCACCCTGTCAGTCAGTCAGTAGTCACCCTGTCAGTCAGTAGTCACCCTGTGAGTCAGTAGTCACCCTGTCAGTCAGTAGTCACCCTGTCAGTCAGTCAGTAGTCACCCTGTCAGTCAGTAGTCACCCTGTCAGTCAGTCAGTAGTCACCCTGTCAGTCAGTAGTCACCCTGTCAGTCAGTAGTCACCCTGTCAGTCAGTTAGTAGTCACCCTGTGAGTCAGTCAGTAGTCACAGTGTCAGTCAGTAGTCACCCTGTCAGTCAGTAGTCACCCTGTCAGTCAGTCAGTAGTCACCCTGTGAGTGAGTCAGTAGTCACCCTGTGAGTCAGTAGTCACCCTGTGAGTCAGTCAGTCAGTAGTCACCCTGTGAGTGAGTCAGTAGTCACCCTGTGAGTCAGTAGTCACCCTGTGAGTCAGTCAGTAGTCACCCTGTGAGTCAGTCAGTAGTCACCCTGTGAGTCAGTCAGTAGTCACCCTGTCAGTCAGTAGTCACCCTGTGAGTCAGTCAGTAGTCACCCTGTCAGTCAGTCAGTAGTCACCCTGTCAGTCAGTCAGTAGTCACCCTGTCAGTCAGTCAGTAGTCACCCTGTGAGTCAGTAGTCACCCTGTCAGTCAGTAGTCACCCTGTCAGTCAGTCAGTAGTCACCCTGTCAGTCAGTAGTCACCCTCTGAGTCAGTCAGTAGTCACCCTGGCAGTCAGTAGTCACCCTGTCAGTCAGTCAGTAGTCACCCTGTCAGTCAGTAGTCATCCTGTCAGTCAGTCAGTAGTCACCCTGTCAGTCAGTAGTCACCCTGTGAGTCAGTAGTCACCCTGTCAGTCAGTAGTCACCCTGTGAGTCAGTAGTCACCCTGTGAGTCAGTCAGTAGTCACCCTGTCAGTCAGTCAGTAGTCACCCTGTCAGTCAGTAGTCACCCTGTGAGTCAGTAGTCACCCTGTAAGTGAGTCAGTCAGTAGTCACCCTGTGAGTCAGTCAGTAGTCACCCTGTCAGTCAGTAGTCACCCTGTCAGTCAGTCAGTAGTCACCCTGTCAGTCAGTAGTCACCCTGTCAGTCAGTAGTCACCCTGTCAGTCAGTAGTCACCCTGTGAGTCAGTAGTCACCCTGTCAGTCAGTCAGTAGTCACCCTGTCAGTCAGTAGTCACCCTGTCAGTCAGTCAGTAGTCACCCTGTGAGTCAGTAGTCACCCTGTCAGTCAGTAGTCACCCTGTCAGTCAGTAGTCACCCTGTCAGTCAGTCAGTAGTCACCCTGTCAGTCAGTAGTCACCCTGTCAGTCAGTCAGTAGTCACCCTGTCAGTCAGTAGTCACCCTGTGAGTCAGTAGTCACCCTGTGAGTCAGTCAGTAGTCACCCTGGCAGTCAGTAGTCACCCTGTCAGTCAGTCAGTAGTCACCCTGTCAGTCAGTAGTCACCCTGTCAGTCAGTCAGTAGTCACCCTGTCAGTCAGTAGTCACCCTGTGAGTCAGTAGTCACCCTGTCAGTCAGTAGTCACCCTGTCAGTCAGTCAGTAGTCACCCTGTGAGTCAGTAGTCACCCTGTGAGTGAGTCAGTAGTCACCCTGTCAGTCAGTCAGTAGTCACCCTGTGAGTCAGTAGTCACCCTGTCAGTCAGTCAGTAGTCACCCTGTCAGTCAGTAGTCACCCTGTCAGTCAGTAGTCACCCTGGCAGTCAGTAGTCACCCTGTCAGTCAGTAGTCACCCTGTCAGTCAGTAGTCACCCTGTCAGTCAGTAGTCACCCTGTGAGTCAGTAGTCACCCTGTCAGTCAGTAGTCACCCTGTGAGTCAGTAGTCACCCTGTCAGTCAGTCAGTAGTCACCCTGTGAGTCAGTAGTCACCCTGTCAGTCAGTAGTCACCCTGTGAGTCAGTAGTCGCCCTGTCAGTCAGTAGTCACCCTGTGAGTCAGTAGTCACCCTGTCAGTCAGTAGTCACCCTGTGAGTCAGTAGTCACCCTGTCAGTCAGTAGTCACCCTGTGAGTCAGTCAGTAGTCACCCTGTCAGTCAGTCAGTAGTCACCCTGTGAGTCAGTAGTCACCGTATCAGTCAGTAGTCACCCTGTCAGTCAGTCAGTAGTCACCCTGTCAGTCAGTAGTCACCCTGTGAGTCAGTTAGTAGTCACCCTGTGAGTCAGTCAGTAGTCACCCTGTGAGTCAGTCAGTAGTCACCCTGTGAGTGAGTCAGTGAGTGAGTCACGTGGCGTTCTGGCTCCAGGTGAGTACCAGGCTCCAGGTGAGCCACGCTGTGGTGGTGGAGGCGGTAGTCACCCTCCAGCTCGTCCTCACCGTAGTCACCCTGTGAGTCAGTAGTCACCCTGTGAGTCAGTAGTCACCCTGTGAGTGAGTCAGTGAGTCACCCTGTGAGTCAGTGAGTCACCCTGTGAGTGAGTCACGTGGCGTTCTGGCTCTAGGTGAGTACCAGGCTCCAGGTCAGCCACGCTGTGGTGGTGGAGGCGGTAGTCACCCTCCAGCTCGTCCTCACCGTAGTCACCCTGTGAGTGAGTCAGTGAGTCACCCTGTGAGTGAGTCACGTGGCGTTCTGGCTCCAGGTGAGCACCAGGCTCCAGGTCAGCCACGCTGTGGTGGTGGAGGCGGTAGTCACCCTCCAGCTCGTCCTCACCGTAGTCACCCTGTGAGTCAGTAGTCACCCTGTGAGTCAGTAGTCACCCTGTGAGTCAGTAGTCACCCTGTGAGTCAGTAGTCACCCTGTGAGTGAGTGAGTGAGTCACGTGGCGTGCCTGCTGGCTCCAGGTGAGTACCAGGCTCCAGGTGAGCCACGCTGTGGTGGTGGAGGCGGTAGTCACCCTCCAGCTCGTCCTCACCGTAGTCACCCTGTGAGTGAGTCAGTGAGTCACCCTGTGAGTCAGTCAGTGAGTCACCCTGTGAGTGAGTCACGTGGCGTTCTGGCTCTAGGTGAGTACCAGGCTCCAGGTCAGCCACGCTGTGGTGGTGGAGGCGGTAGTCACCCTCCAGCTCGTCCTCACCGTAGTCACCCTGTGAGTCAGTAGTCACCCTGTGAGTGAGTCAGTGAGTGAGTCACGTGGCGTGCTGGCTCTAGGTGAGTACCAGGCTGCAGGTGAGCCACGCTGTGGTGGTGGAGGCGGTAGTCACCCTCCAGCTCGTCCTCACCGTAGTCACCCTGTGAGTCACCCTGTGAGTGAGTCAGTGAGTCACCCTGTGAGTGAGTGAGTCACGTGGCGTGCCTGCTGGCTCTAGGTGAGTACCAGGCTCCAGGTGAGCCACGCTGTGGTGGTGGAGGCGGTAGTCACCCTCCAGCTCGTCCTCACCGTAGTCACCCTGTGAGTCAGTAGTCACCCTGTGAGTCAGTCAGTGAGTGAGTCACGTGGCGTTCTGGCTCTAGGTGAGTACCAGGCTCCAGGTGAGCCACGCTGTGGTGGTGGAGGCGGTAGTCACCCTCCAGCTCGTCCTCACCGTAGTCACCCTGTGAGTCAGTCAGTGAGTCACCCTGTGAGTCAGTGAGTCACCCTGTGAGTGAGTCAGTGAGTCACCCTGTGAGTGAGTCACGTGGCGTTCTGGCTCCAGGTGAGCACCAGGCTCCAGGTGAGCCACGCTGTGGTGGTGGAGGTGGTAGTCACCCTCCAGCTCGTCCTCACCGTAGTCACCCTGTGAGTGAGTCAGTAGTCACCCTGTGAGTGAGTGAGTCACCCTGTGAGTGAGTCATGTGGCGTGCTGGCTCTAGGTGAGCACCAGGCTCCAGGTGAGCCACGCTGTGGTGGTGGAGGCGGTAGTCACCCTCCAGCTCGTCCTCACCGTAGTCACCCTGTGAGTCAGTAGTCACCCTGTGGGTGAGTGAGTGAGTCACGTGGCGTTCTGGCTCTAGGTGAGCACCAGGCTCCAGGTGAGCCACGCTGTGGTGGTGGAGGCGGTAGTCACCCTCCAGCTCGTCCTTACCGTAGTCACCCTGTGAGTCAGTAGTCACCCTGTGAGTCAGTCAGTGAGTCACGTGGCGTTCTGGCTCCAGGTGAGCACCAGGCTCCAGGTGAGCCACGCTGTGGTGGTGGAGGCGGTAGTCACCCTCCAGCTCGTCCTCACCGTAGTCACCCTGTGAGTCAGTAGTCACCCTGTGAGTGAGTCACGTGGCGTGCCTGCTGGCTCCAGGTGAGCACCAGGCTCCAGGTGAGCCACGCTGTGGTGGTGGAGGCGGTAGTCACCCTCCAGCTCGTCCTCACCGTAGTCACCCTGTGAGTCAGTAGTCACCCTGTGAGTCAGTAGTCACCCTGTGGGTGAGTGAGTGAGTCACGTGGCGTTCTGGCTCTAGGTGAGCACCAGGCTCCAGGTGAGCCACGCTGTGGTGGTGGAGGCGGTAGTCACCCTCCAGCTCGTCCTCACCGTAGTCACCCTGTGAGTCAGTAGTCACCCTGTGAGTCAGTCAGTGAGTCACCCTGTGAGTGAGTCACGTGGCGTTCTGGCTCCAGGTGAGCACCAGGCTCCAGGTGAGCCACGCTGTGGTGGTGGAGGCGGTAGTCACCCTCCAGCTCGTCCTCACCGTAGTCACCCTGTGAGTCAGTAGTCACCCTGTGAGTCAGTAGTCACCCTGTGAGTGAGTCAGTGAGTCACCCTGTGAGTGAGTCACGTGGCGTTCTGGCTCTAGGTGAGCACCAGGCTCCAGGTGAGCCACGCTGTGGTGGTGGAGGCGGTAGTCACCCTCCAGCTCGTCCTCACCGTAGTCACCCTGTGAGTCAGTAGTCACCCTGTGAGTGAGTCAGTGAGTCACCCTGTGAGTGAGTCACGTGGCGTTCTGGCTCCAGGTGAGCACCAGGCTCCAGGTCAGCCACGCTGTGGTGGTGGAGGCGGTAGTCACCCTCCAGCTCGTCCTCACCGTGTGCGCCACCATCGACGATCGTCGCTCCGACCTCGCTGGCTCCGGCTCCCTCGCCATCGGCCTGTCGGTGGCGCTGGGTCACCTCTTTGCGGTGAGGGTGCCTCGGGGTCACCTCGTCAGCCTCGTCATCGACACCACCACCGCCGTCTTCGTCGTCATCATCATTACCGTCATCATCACCACCACCGTCACCATCAACACCATCGTCACCACCACTGTCACCATAACCACCATCGTCACCATCAGGATCTTCATCATCACCATCAGTATCTTCATCATCACCATCACCACCATCAACACCATCGTCACCATCAGGATCTTCATCATCACCACCATCGTCATCGTCATCATCACCACCATCGTCACCATCGCCACCACCATCACCATCACCACCATCGTCATCATCATCACCATCATCACCATCGTCCGTCACCATCGCCACTACCATCACCACCACCATCGTCACCATCGTCACCACCATCACCACCACCACCATCATCACCATCATCACCACCATCATCAACAGCGTCGTCACCATCACCACCATCATCACCATCGTCACCATCATCATCATTACCATCACCATCGTCACCATCGTCACCACCATCATCACCATCATCACCACCATCACCACCATCACCACCACCACCATCATCACCATCATCACCATCGTCACCACCATCATCAACAGCGTCGTCACCATCACCACCATCATCACCATCGTCACCATCATCATCATCATTACCATCACCATCGTCACCATCGTCACCACCATCATCACCACCATCGTCACCATCACCACCATCACCACCATCACCATCATCATCACCATCACCACCATCGTCACCATCACCACCATCACCACCATCGTCACCATCACCACCATCGTGGTACGTGATGATGATGATGTTGGCAATGTTGATGGTGTTGATGATGATGATGCTGCTGCTGATGATGATGTTGGTGTTGATGATGATGTTGATGATGATGGTGATGTTGATGATCATTATGATGATGTTGGTGTTGATGATGTTGATGATGATGTTGATGATGATGTTGATGTTGTTGTTGATGTTGTTGATAGTGATGTTGCTGATGATGTTGTTGTTGATGTTGTTGATGTTAAATTTCGATTTAAAGCTTTCGTGACTGCAATGATTCATCTTCTTTGGTTCTTTTGGTAAAGTCACGTAGAATGAGAATAAAATAATAAATTGATAAAATAAAATAACACAATAATATTCTCACGACGTTTCGGCCACAACACAAGCGGCCTTCATCAGGTGAAGGGACGAGACTGTCTGGTAGGACAGCGCTGGAGTGAAAGCGCTGTCCTACCAGACAGTCTCGTCCCTTCACCTGATGAAGGCCGCTTGTGTTGTGGCCGAAACGTCGTGAGAATATTATTGTGTTATTTTATTTTATAAATTTATTATTGTATTCTCATTCTACGTGACTTTACCGAAAGAACCAAAGAAGTTGTTGATGTTGTTGTTGATGTTGTTGTTGATGTTGTTGCTGATGATGTTGTTGATGATGTTGTTGATGTTGTTGATGATCTTGTTGATGACGTTGTTGATGTTACTGATGTTGATGTTGTTGATGGTGATGTTGATTATGTTGTTGTTGATGTTGTTGATGATGTCGTTGATGTTGTTGATGATCTTGTTGATGACGTTGTTGATGTTGCTGATGTTGATGTTGTTGATGGTGATGTTGCTGATGTTATTGATTTAGTTGATGATGTTGTTGATGTAGCTGACGATGTTGTTGGTGTTGTTGTTGATGTTGTTGCTGATGATGTTGTTGATGATGTTGTTGATGTCGTTGATGATCTTGTTGATGATCTTGTTGATGTTTCAGATGTTGTTGTTGATGTTGGTGTTGATGATGTTGTTGATGTTGCTGATGTTGATGTTGTTGATGTTGTTGATGACGTTGTTGATGTTGATGTTGTAGATGTTGTTGATGTTGTTTTTGCTGATGTTGTTGATGATGTTGTTGATGTTGTTGATGTTGATGTAGCTGATGATGTTGATGTTGTTGTTGATGTTGTTGATATTGTTGTTGATGTTGTTGATGTTGTTGTAGATGTTGTTGATATAGCTGATGATGATGTTGATGTTGTTGATGTAGTTGAAGATGTTGATGTTGTTGTTGATGATGTTGTTGTTGTTGTTGATGTTGTTGATGTTTATTATGAGACCTCCTTTGCCAGTAACAAGATATAGGAATAGGTTTTACCCTTTTAACTGGCACAAAAACTGACACCTTTATTCAAGGCATCATGTTTGCAATAACCACAACACAAGCAGTCAAAATGCAAAAAAAAAAGACAACTCTGATAATAATATGCACTGTCCTTGAATTTGATTGGTCCACACACGAGACAGCTTTTCTTAGAGCCCTTTAGTCTCCATTGGTGATGGACCAGAAGACGCCAAAAGGCGTACAACTCAAAAACAGCGCACTATCAGAGTATTGAGGGCTCGGGGTGAGCATGCACTATCATCATCACCACCAGCATGTACATGCTCACCCCGAGCCCTCAATACTCTGACAGTGCGCTGTTTTTGAGTTGTACGCCTTTTGGCGTCTTCTGGTCCATCACCAATGGAGACTAGGCTCTAAGAAAAGCTGTCTCGGGTGTGGACCAATCAAATTCAAGGACAGTGCATATTATTATCAGAGTTGTCTCTTTTGTTTGCATTTTGACTGCTTGTGTTGTGGTTATTGCAAACACGATGCCTTGAATAAAGGTGTCAGTTTCTGTGCCAGTTAAAAGGGTAAAACCTATTCCTAGATGTTGATGTTGTTGTTGATATTGTTGTTGATGTTGTTGATGTAGCTGATGTTGTTGTTGAAGTTGTTGTTGATGTTGTTGTTGATGTTGTTGATGTTGTTGTTGATATTGTTGTTGATGTTGTTCATGTTGTTGTTGATTTTGTTGTTGATGTAGGTGATGATGATGTTGATGTTGTTGATGTAGTTGAAGATGTTGATGTTGTTGTTGATGATGTTGTTGTTGATGTTGTTGTTGATGTTGTTGTTGATGATGTTGTTGATGATGTTGTTGATGATGACGTTGTTGATGTTGTTGATGTAGCTGATGTTGTTGATGTTGTTGTTGATGTTGTTGATGTTGTTGATGTTGATGATGTTGTTGTTGATGTTGTTGTTGATGTTGTTGTTGATGTAGCTGCCCTACACCGGCTCCAGCATGAACCCAGCACGCTCCCTCGGCTCTGCTGTGGTGTCTGGGCTGTGGGCTAACCACTGGGTAGAGTGAAACACCACCATTACCACCTCCACCATCACCTCCACCATCACCTCCACCATCACCACCAACATCACCACTATCATCATCACAATCATCATTACTACCATCAACATCACCACCATCACCACCATCACCACCAACATCATCATTATCAACATCACCTCCACCATCAAAATCACCACCATCACCACTATCATCATCACCACCATCACCAAAATTACTACCATCAACATCACCACCATCATCACCATCATCACCAACATCACCACTATCACGATCATCATCACCATCACCACCAACATCATCATTATCAACATCACCACCACCATCACCAACATCACCACCATCACCATCATCACCACCATCACCACCATCACCAGCATCACCATCAACATCACCTCCACCATCAAAATCACCACCATCACCACTATCATCATCTCCACTATCATTACTACCATCAACATCACCACCATCATCACCAACATCACCACCATCACCACCATCATCATCTCCAACATCACCACCATCACCAGCATCACCATCAACCTCACCACCACCATCACTATCACCACCACCACCATCACCACCATCAGCATCATCACCACCATCAACATCACCACCATCACCATCATCACGACTATCACCACCATCAACATCACCACCATCACCACCATCAACATCACTTTCCCTCCAACGATGTCTGATGTAATAAGGAGGCTACCCGGGTTTGTTTTGGATGCTCTCCCTTTAGCTTGTAACCTGTGTGATGGGCGTGTTTGTGGTGTGTGCACAAACCACACACACACACCACACACACACACACCACACACATACACCACACACACCACACACACTACACACACACCAAACACACACACCACACATACACACCAAACACACCACACAGGTCTACTGGCTGGGTCCCATGCTCGGTGGAGTTATCGGAGCTGCGACTTACGAATATCTCCTGTACCCAACTCGTAAAGTCAAACATCAACATCATCATCAGCAGCAGCAGCAGCAGCTTCATCAGCAGCATCCTCATCAGCAGGATGAGGAGCAGACCAACGCTGCTGATGTAGCGTTGGCCGATGTAGTCTACGATTCATCAGCGGCAGAAGCAACGGTGAAGATGCCCAGCCCCGATCAGTAGAGAAGACTCACTCACTCATTCATACACTCACTCACTCATTCACTCACTCACTCATTCATCCACTCATTCATGCATACACTCACTCACTCACTCATCCACTCAATCACTCACTCATCCACTCACTCACTCATCCACTCAATCACTCACTCATCCACTCACTCACTCATCCACTCACTCACTCATTCATCCACTCACTCACTCATCCACTCACTCACTCATTCATCCACTCTCTCACCCACTCACTCATCCACTCACCCACTCACTCACCCGCTCATTCATTCACTCGTTCATCCACTCACTCACTCATCCACTCACTCACTCACTCATCCACTCACAAACTCACCCATCCACTCACTCACTCATCCACTCACATTCTCACTCATCCACTCACTCACTCATCCACTCACTCACGCATCCACTCACTCATTCATCCACTCTCTCACTCACTCATCCACTCACTCACTCATCCACTCACTCACTCGTTCACTCACTCGCTCGCTCACTCACCCTCCTACTCACTCATTCACTCACTCACTCATCCACTCACTCACTCATTCATCCACTCTCTCACCCACTCACTCATCCACTTACTCACCCACTCACTCACCCACTCATTCATTCACTCGTTCATCCACTCACTCGTTCATCCACTCACTCGCTCATCCACTCACTCGCTCACTCATTTACTCGCTCACTCACTCATCCACTCACTCACTCATCCACTCACTCATCCACTCACTCACTCATCCACTCACTCATCCACTCACTCACTCACTCATCCACTCACTCGCTCAATCACTCATTCATCCACTCACCAATTCACCCATCCACTCACTCACTCATCTACTCACATTCTCACTCACTCGTTCACTCACTCGCTCGCTCACTCACCCTCCTACTCACTCATTCACTCCCCGTGTAATCCACCAGTAATCCAAAGTGTAATCCCCGTGTAATCCCGGAGTAATCCACGTGTAATCCACCAGTACTGCAATATGTAAGCTCCGTGTAATCTGCGTGTAATCCCCGAGTAATCCCCCAGTCATCGACTTGTAATCCCCGACTAATCTCCAAGTAATCCACGTGTATTTCCAAGTAACCACCGAGTAATCCCCGACTAATCTGCAAGTAATCCTCGACTAAGCACGAAGTAATCCACGTGTAATCCCCGAGTAATCCTCGAGTAATCCCCGACTAATCACCAAGTAATCCACGTGTAATTCCCAAGTAATCCCCGAGTAATCCACGTGTAATTCGCGTGTAATCCCTGACTAATCACCAAGTAATCCACGTGTAATCCCCGAGTAATCCCCGAGTAATCCCCAGTCATCTACGTGTAATCCCCGAATAATCACCAAGTAATCCACGTGTAATCCCCGAGTAATCCCCCCAGTCATCTGTCTGTAATCCCCGACTGCAGGGATTCATATTCTTGGTTCTTTCGGTAAAGTCACCACGTAGAAGGGAAACAATACATTAATAAAAATATAAAACAATAAAATTATTGTAAAACAATAAAATTATTATTCTTGGTTCTTTCGGTAAAGTCACCACCACGTGCAAGGGAAACAATAAAATAATAAAAATATAAAACAATAAAATTATTATTCTTGGTTCTTTCGGTAATGTCACCACGTGGAAGGGAAACAATAAAATAATAAAAATATAAAGCAATAAAATTATTATTCTTGGTTCTTTCGGTAAAGTCACCACGTAGAAGGGAAACAGTAAAATAATAAAAATATAAAACAATAAAAATTATTGTAAAACAATAAAATTATTATTCTTGGTTCTTTCGGTAAAGTCACCACCACGTGCAAGGGAAACAATAAAATAATAAAAATATAAAACAATAAAATTATTATTCTTGGTTCTTTCGGTAAAGTCACCACGTAGGAGGGAAACAATAAAATAATAAAAATATAAAACAATGAAAATTATTGTAAAACAATAAAATTATTATTCTTGGTTCTTTCGGTAAAGTCACCACGTAGGAGGGAAACAATAAAATAATAAAAATATAAAACAATGAAAATTATTGTAAAACAATAAAAATATTATTCTTGGTTCTTTCGGTAAAGTCACCACGTGCAAGGGAAACGATAAAATAATAAAAAAATATATATAAAACAATAAAATTCTCACGACGTTTTCGACTGCAGCAACACCAATCAGCAATCATCATCAGCTGTGAAAACCACAGCAAGATAAAAACATTTTTTTTAAAAAAAAGTGGCGTTTTTATTTTTAACGTCAGCACCGCGGAGAGCGATTTGACAGTTCGTTCAGATGGACGAGTCCATCTACGTTCGGAAACGAGGAGGAGGGGGGTGGGAGAGACCATTACCGCTCGCCAAAAGCTCCTGTGGCACGGCCCGTGGCCTCTATTTCAAATTAGAATCACTGAGGGTCTTCGTCTACGTGAATAAAGCGCTCTTGTCCAGCGTGTACCTGTTTACAAACCTCGTTCACGTGCGTGCAGCGCCCCCAGTAATTACCCGGGCGATTTGTATGGGGTACAGGGTTGAAAGTTCGGGTCAAGGTAGGCGCGTTGTTGCTTTTTTGAACTTTGATCGTTCCTTGCCCGAGGATCTGGAGCCCGCGCGATGTTCACTGAGGGGGCCTTAGTGGCGGAGTCTCGCGACGTGCCCCCCCCCCACCCACGTGCCCCCCACGTGCCCCCCCCCCCACGTGCCGTTCGCCACCCGTGAGGACACCCACGGAGGGCTCGACTCAGGCTGACGCAGGTGGAGTTGGTGGGCTCGCTGACTGAGGGCCGCTCGCTCAGTCGCCCGCTCGCTCAGTCGCCCACCCGCTCACTTAATCAATCAATAAATGACTCACCCATTCACTCGCCAACCCATTCACCCACACACCCGCATACTCACCCACCCATTCACCCACTCACACACTTACTCACCCACCTACTCACTCACCCACTCACCCGCATACCCACATACTCACCCATTCAACCACTCACTCACCCACTCACTCACACACTCACTCACACACTCACTCACCCACACACTCACTCACCCACTCACTCACTCACTCACCCACCCACTTACCCACCCATTACACCCACTCACCCACACACCCACTCACTCACACACTCACTCACTCACTCACCCACACACTCACCCACACACTCACCCACACACTCACTCACACACTCACTCACCCACACACTCACTCACTCACCCACACACTCACTCACTCACTCACCAACCTACCCACTCACTCATTCACTCACTCACTCACACACCCAGACACTCACTCACCCCCACACTCACTCACTCACCCACTCACTCACTCACACACTCACTCACCCACCCACCCACTCAATCACCCACCCACTCACCCACACACTCACTCACTCACTCACCCACACACCCACACACTCATCCACACACTCACTCACTCACCCACACACTCACTCACCCACACACCCACACACTCACCCACACACTCACTCACTCACCCATACACTCACTCACCCACACACCCACACACTCACTTACCCACACACCCACTCACTCACCCACCCACACACCCACTCACCCACACACACACCCACTCACTCACCTACACACTCACTCACCCACACACCCACACACTCACACACTCACTCACACACCCACACACTCACTCGCCCACTCACTCACCCACTCACTCACCCACCCACCCACACACTCACTCACCCACTCATTCACCCACCCACACACTCACTCATTCACCCACCCACTCACTCACCCACCCACTAATCCACCCATTCACCTACTCACCCATGCACTCACCCACACACTCACTCACTCACCCACTCACTCACCCACCCACCAATCCACCCATTCACCTACTCACTCACCCACATACCCACCCACTCACTCACCCACCCACTCACTCACCCACCCACCAATCCACCCATTCACCTACTCACCCACGCACTCACCCACACACTCACCCACATACCCACCCACTCACTCACCCACCCACTCACTCACCCACCCACCAATCCACCCATTCACCTATTCACTCACCCACATACCCACCCACTCACTCACCCACCCACTCACTCACCCACCCACTAATCCACCCATTCACCTACTCACCCACGCACTCACCCACACACTCACTCACCCACATACCCACCCACTCACTCACCCACCCACTCACTCACCCACCCACCAATCCACCCATTCACCTACTCACTCACCCACATACCCACCCACTCACTCACCCACCCACTAATCCATCCATTCACCTACTCACTCACCCACATACCCACTCACTCACTCACTCACCCACCCACTCACTCACCCACCCACCAATCCACCCATTCACCTACTCACCCACGCACTCACCCACACACTCACTCACTCACCCACATACCCACCCACTCACTCACCCACCCACTCACTCACCCACCCACCAATCCACCCATTCACCTACTCACTCACCCACATACCCACCCACTCACTCACCCACCCACCAATCCACCCATTCACCTACTCACTCACCCACATACCCACCCACTCACTCACCCACCCACTAATCCACCCATTCACCTACTCACCCACGCACTCACCCACACACTCACTCACTCACCCACTCACTCACTCACCCACCCACTAATCCACCCATTCTCCTACTCACTCACCCACATACCCACTCACTCACTCACCCACCCACTCACTCACCCACCCACCAATCCACCCATTCACCTACTCACCCACGCACTCACCCACACACTCACTCACTCACCCACATACCCACCCACTCACTCCCCCACCCACTCACTCACCCACCCACCAATCCACCCATTCACCTACTCACCCACGCACTCACCCACACACTCACTCACCCACCCACTAATCCACCCATTCACCTACTCACCCACGCACTCACCCACACACTCACTCACTCACCCACATACCCACCCACTCACTCACCCACCCACTCACTCACCCACCCACTAATCCACCCATTCACCTACTCACTCACCCACATACCCACCCACTCACTCACCCACCCACTAATCCACCCATTCACCTACTCACCCAC